AAAAAAAAACACCCGCAACTGTCTTCTCACCCGAACAGAACGCGCGGTCATTATCGCTGTATATGGCCGAACTTCCCGTCTGGATACGGTGATGATGACCAGGCGTTCTATTCGGGTGAAGATGGTAGTATGCTACAGTCGCATCCATTTTGTCCCCATAAGGGGGTTATAATCTGGAAGTTAACTCCGTAGGGTGTCGGTGCATTGCACAGCATCCTAAATGCATCTGGGCTCTGGAGCCAGAAATGCCCCCCGATACATCCAAAACCTTGAATGGGTCGGACCGTATAAGGCCAATAAACAGTCCAGATACGTGTCGAATGTCAGGACGTGGAGCAAGGCCCATAGCGTGCCATAAATTATCGGGATGTTATCCTTAATGTGAACTAGATGTTATCCAGATGACACTCAGGTACGGGGAATGTGCCTGGTCGAAAAACAGTCCACATACGAAGGAAAATGGCTTCAATTTCCAAGCGCCCTTCCTCCCCCCTCCTCATATTAACTAGATGTTATCCGGATGACACTCAGGTACGGGGGGGTGTGCCTGGTCGAAAAATCATCCAGATACGTATCGATAAAGCAAATCAATGCAAAGGAAAACGGCTTCGATCTACAAGCTCCCTCCCTCCCCCCTCCTCCTCGTATTAACTAGATGTTGTCCGGATGACACTCAGGTACGGGGAATGTACCTGGTCAAAAAACAGTCCAGATACGAGTCGATAATGCAAATCAATGCAAGGGAAATCGTTTCTATTCACAAGCTCACCGAGTAACAAAAGGGAAGGGAAAAAAAGAGTAATGGAAATCGTTTCTATTCACAAGCTCCCTCCCTCCCCCCTCCTCCTCGGTCAAAAAAAAAACGAGTAACAAAAGGGAAGGGAAAAAAAGAAAAGAATGAAAAAAGCAAATTATATCACTCCTTGCCAAGACACGAAAGAGAAATAAATGGGAAGGAGAAAAGTGAAAAAAACTTCAAAAAACTTAAAAAGAACTTAAAAAAACTTAAAAAAAAAGAAAAGAAAAGTAGGAAAAAGCAAAAAGAGGGTGGACGGAGAAACAGGACTAGAAAAAAAGACAAAACAAAAAAGTTGACAAACGGACAAAAAAAGGGGGAAAAAGAAAAGTCACAAAACGCGAAAGAAAGCGTGACAAAGAGCATCTCCTCTGTGACACCAAATGCTGATGATCCAGAGCACTGCAGAGGGAATAATCTCTCTCTCTCTCTCTCTCTCTCTCTCTCTCTCTCTCTCTCTCTCTCTCTCAAGTGCATGCCTGCGGGCGCGTTTCCCTCCCTCCCAGGGAGGTAAGCGGTGTGCGAAGGGAGAGTCAAGGGAAGCTCCATACCTGATCCCCCCTGAAGTGACCTTAGTGGCGCTACCGGGTAGCAACGCGCTGAGGTTCCCCGTTGAGTTTCGAACTCTGCGGGCGCACGCTGTGGCGGGTCTTTCTCGTATCTCCTACTTTTGTCTACAACGTAGTGCGTCCGCTTCCCTTCGGCGATCAGACTCAGTTTGCCCAGTTGTTTCGATTCTATTCCAATTCATCTCTTTTGATACGAACGGGGGAAAGAGGAGGAGAGGGTTCACTGGGGGGGGGTAGGGTAGGGTAGGGTAGGGTACGGTAGGGTAGGGTAGGGTAGGGGAGCGGGGTGTAGGGAGCGCAGGGAATTTTGTTGACATTTTCCTGGTGCAAGAAAGAACAGGAAGAGCAGATCCACATAGAACACAAGCTTTGGGAAACAAATACGCTTTCAGCCGATCTTCGTGAACATTGCTCAAGTGGCAATGCGATGAAACGAAGTAAATTATTCGTCTGCAATCCTTCTCAACAAGCACTTGTTGGAGTCGGATTCCGTAAACCCCAAACCTCCTTCGGCCTCTCTGATCACCATGGCCACACAATCATCCTTTGTCCACCATAGCCACACAATCATCGTCAGCATCCAGTTGTGGTGGTTTCACATGCCACCGCCAAAGGTGATCGCTGCATAAAGCCAACCCCTCCAACTCCTCCTGTTCACCTCTTACTTACTCGCTGCCTTCTTAAGGCAACAAAATGCAGTTAAAAAAGGCCACAGCCCTTCGCCATTATTTCCTCGACTTTCTTATTACATACACCCCACAGATGCCCCCCCCATGCCCCACTTCTCCTCCCTCTCTCTCTCTCTCTCTCTCTCTCTCTCTCTCTCTCTCTCTCTCTCTCTCTCTCTCTCTCTCTCTCTC